ACCTCACTATGATAGCATTCTAATGTTCTCCCTTGTCTCATTAAAGCATATAGAAGACTTAACTTGTAGGCATCTCCAAATATTCATGAGATTCCTGGGAAATTCAGTTCCTAAAACTTATGAGAAATTATTTATTTGGAATGACTATAAGAAAACAGCACCAGCGGTTATACAAAATGCTTCCAGTGCTTAGCATACGACTTTAATCCTAGAATTATAGATGCTGCTTCTAGTCAGAAATGTTAATGAGTCTATCAGTGATTGGTAGAGATGTCTATATTTTTGTAATGAAAAGTGCAGCTAACTGTATCTCTGAGATTAATACCCACACTGCTTACTCTCCATGAACAGGTTGTGAGCCAAACAATATTTCAGTACATAAATTTCATTTTTAGAATTGTCAAAAATATATTTATGACTGAATATTGGTAACGATTACTTTCCTGGAGGAAAATAAACCTTCTTTATTGACCATGAAATTATTTTAGCATTGAACTCACATCTAATGTCCATTTCCCATATGTTTTCACAAAGTTAATAAAGTAGTCAAGGCAGAGGACATAAACCATGCAGGGTATAAAGCATCATTTCAGTCTCTGGATGAGCTAGCAGATTGAATACAAGCATTTTCTTCTCTCCCTGAAAAGTTTTTCATGAAGGGCAGTAAATGAATTCATCCACAAGGACAGAGAGAATAAGAAGAGTCAACAGTCACAGACTGTTGATATCTAGAAAGAAACATCACAAGTAGTAACTGACGGTAGATACGGGAGCACTGCATCCCAAGTTGATGGGAGGGAATACCAGCCAACAATCCCCACAGTCTATACAGTAAACCCCTTCAAAATAAGAGGATTGTCTGCGCATGCTGTGAAGCCAAAAGCAGAAGTATTTACAAATTACTGAAGAAGCGCTACTTCTTCCAATCCCTTAACTCTACTCTCTAAACTAACAAACCATAAATCAACCTTAAAATTGTACTTAGTAATGAGAAGATAGCTCAATGAATAAAGTACTTGCCAGGCAAGTGTGAGGACCTGAATTCTATCCCCACAGCCCATGTAAAGTTGATGTGTTAGAAATCAGGTGCAACAGAGCAAGTATCTTTAATCCCAGAGCTCCTGTTGCAAGATGGGAGGTGGAGGCAGGAGAATCCCTAGATGCTCACAGGCCACCTAACCTGGCACAGAGATCAGCAAACAAGATACCCTGTCTCAAATAAAGTGAGTGCAGCAAGAATAAATAACTAAGGTTGTCTAACCTCCATATATATGCTATGGCACTGCATGTACGTGTGTGCCCACACACACACACATGCACACATATACATGCATGCACACATGAAGACAAAGTTTTTAAGTTATGTTACTTAGGCACAAGGCAAAAGAACCAACACTCAATTAGTTTGGCACTAAAACTAACAAAGACTCAGTCAACAAGACTTTCTGGTTAATTTTTATCTCCTTCCCTCTTTTCAGAATTTAATATTTTCTAGCATACTCTATAAGTTTGTTTATAATATTTATTGCTTTGATCTGTTATTTTCTTCTGGAATACCAAAACCCCAGGTGGAAATCTTTGTCTTTTCTATTTGCCAGTATAATCCAGGTGCTGAGATTGAATAGTGCCTGGAACACAGTGGGGTATTCAGCAAACATCTTGAGTAAATGTATTTGATTTCTAAAACATGATA